TTTTGGTGGTGATGCTCTGATGAAACTGTGCTTCTGGATGGTGACATTTTCCCATAATGCAGGTCAAGGAAGTGCACTTAAAGGACGGCACTGTGCTTGAAGCTGACATTGTTGTTGTTGGTGTTGGGGGGAGACCCCTGACAACATTGTTCAAGGGACAAGTTGAAGAGGAGAAAGGTGGCATTAAGGTTAAGCGACTTCTGAAATCCCTTGATTCCTTCTCCCTCTCACATATATTTAAATATTCATTTTGATGCTTGGAATTTGTCTTAACATGTTTAAGTTGATTGCAGACGGATGCGTTCTTCAAAACAAGTGTTCCTGATGTATATGCCGTGGGTGATGTGGCGACTTTTCCTTTGAAGTTGTACAATGAGATTAGAAGAGTTGAGCATGTTGACCATGCACGCAAATCTGCTGAGCAGGCTGTAAAGGTATGCAGCCCTTTAATTCTGTACTATTTCGACTCAGAACGCACCCTATCATTCTTTTCTGTCAAATCGGGCATGGTCTCCCCTGCCAATAGGATTGTTAAAATAACCAAGCCGGATGGTATCCATTCTTTTCTTTTTTCGGGTTGGCTGTCATCTGGGAATTATATAGTTGTCTTGATTTTGGCAGGCCATCAAGGCAAGCGAGGAGGGGAAGACAATTGAGGAGTATGACTACCTTCCCTTCTTCTATTCTCGTTCCTTCGATCTGTCATGGCAATTCTACGGCGACAATGTGGGTGAAACTGTGCTCTTCGGAGACAATAACCCTACCTCACCAAAACCCAAGTTTGGAACATACTGGATCAAAGACGGGAAAGTGGTCGGAGCATTTCTGGAGGGTGGCAGTCCTGAAGAAAACCAGGCTATTGCCAAAGTTGCCAAGGTCCAACCTCCTGTTGCCAGTTTAGATCAGCTTGCGCAAGAAGGTCTTTCTTTTGCTAGTAAGATTTAAACCTCATGTTTTGGGGCAAAATAAAATGAACTGCTTGTTGCCGGAGGTGGTCTAGATAGCTTTAAAGAACAGTTCACTTTGGTTTTCTTTGAGTGGTTTCGGTGTTGTATTTCAAATTAATTACATAAATCTTATTGTTCAGAGAGTCACACTTCACAGAGTTTATTCTTGTTCTTATCATTGTGAGGAGCTGATGTAACTTGCTTATTGTCAATAATCATATCGTTATTTCCATATGTGTGCGAGACATTAGGCCAAAAGCATTTCGAGATGTTTCTGATTTTCTGAAATCCATTTTACTCAATGCTCTATTGGGGTATTGTCGACAAAAACTGATTGAATTTTGAATGTCTGGTTTTGTTTTTGTAAACTGATCGAATTTCGATCATTTTAGAGCTTTGCATGGAATAATAGGCTGTTGTAGCAAGTTCTGCACAGAATCTTTGACCCGTTGAGGTCGAGAACTCTTGAAAGAATGTTGACAATGGAATGTATACATAAAATCACTTGCGTTTGCAGTCTCTTTACAACCAAATTTCATCCTCTTAATTTTCTTCCAGCAGTTCAAATTTTATGTCTTCCGAATTTCATCGTCTCTCGATCTCCAGTAGTTGAGTGTAAGTGGGCGTCAGGACATGAGACAAGCAGCCTGGAATGGAGCAGGCGAGGGGAGACCCTATAGGACCCTGCCCCACAGAATTAACTCAGGTAAAGGGCCGCTGATCGTCAAATTTTGGTATTCAGACAACCCTAGAGGCAGTCTGAATTCCATATTATGACGAATGTCCTTTGAAGTCCAGGACCCTACTTCACAATATAGTTTGAGGGAATAAAATATAGAAATCAATTCAGGTACCGAAGTCTAGAACCATACACAAATACCCTAATCCTACTTCGATGTATCTTTTTCGGCTATGACGTTGATATGTATAAGCTTAGCAATAGACCGCCAATTGCAAGAGTGGCCAGCCAGCAAATGCATTTCTCTGAACACAAATCAAAAGTCGGGGTATTTTCAGAAGTATTTGATGAGTATTAAGTATCATGAATAGAATTATGTGCCTAATGCGAGAATAAAAAGATGCAGGTCATTCTCTGTCAAGACAAAAGATTAATGAACTTTGATAGAAAAGTGGATTCAAAGCCACCATAATTGCATAATCTACTACATTTTAGATTGTCATAAAGTCTTCTACTGGCTACGATCCAAAAACAATACACTCCATTGAAAAAAAAATCTATCCAACTCAAATAACAAAACAGTCCCTTCATGATGTAAGCATTGCAACCACTCTAGTCAAAGAGACTGAAGCCCATATCCTGCAACAACGAAAAAGCGAGAAAAATAAGATCAGACTAAAATCAAATGCTCCAAACAAAATGCGATGTCTCCAAGAGTGTTTGCTAATTAATCTGAGTATGCGGCACATTGACCATTGCTCTGAAAATGTACCCTTGAATGTGCAAACAGTCACAGCTCAGACAAAGGAAAATTATATTACTATCTATTGATTTGCCACGATCCTATTGACATGCAAACAGTTGCTGTCTAGCACATACATATGCAACTCTCAGAATTTGATGGAAGCTTTAAGCATGAATATGTCTTAGCAGGAGCAAGGGGATTGATATCAGCACTCATTAACAGATGGTATTGCAAAACCCATATCCTTCTACATGCACAAATACTGAACTTAATGAGATAATCCCAAGAAAAACTTACATCATCGGTATCCTCTTTCTCCTCAACCTTCTCTTCTTTCTTTGGCTCAGCTGCAGCAGGAGCAGCGGCACCAGCACCAGCACCAGGTGCAGCCACTGCAACAGCACCACCACCAGATGGTACAGAGGCCAACTTCTCCCTTCCAGAAGCAATAAGCTCTGTAATGTCCTTACCCTTCACTTCCGAAAGAAGAAGCTGAATCCTATCATCATCAGTCTCAGCTCCAACTGCGAGCAAGATGAAAGCCTTTAACAAGTGAACAATAAAAATGAGCATCTAGGCAGCCATGCACCAGCTCATATGAAATCAGACTAGAACACACGAACCACATATGCATAAGAACCAACAATTCAGACATAGTTATTAAATAGCCTCCCTCTAAAATCTGTCTCATATAGAGGACGATACGCAGACAAACAGAAAAATTGGGGAAAAGGGGTATTGTAACTTAGATGCAAGTGGTCCTTTTCAGGAGCAATGGAATATTAAGACTAACTTTTAAAGTCGAACTTCCACTATATACCATAAGATGGAAAAAGAATTCATATTTTCATGATTCAACACTGAAAAGAACATTACCCTAAGACAAAATTCCTTGTGACCTCCAAACATTCATTTTTATGGAGGATTGAGTTGACCGATTGAATACCAACAAGGGATTTACAAATCAAGAGGTATTACCGCACTACACAACTAAGTCATAAACTTGGATGCAGTAGTTCTATTCACAGATTGAGCAAATGAAACATAGAAAAGGAAAAGCAAAAGTACCAGAGCCAAGGATGTCCTTGAGATCTTCGGCAGAAGGGGTGGTATTGCCCCCCAACACAGCCAACAAGTATGCTGCAACAACCTTCATCTCTGCCTATAAAACACAAAATTATTAATAACAATAGATATAAGAGTCAAAGACCCAGATAGAGAGTGAGAAAGAGCGAGGGCAAGTACTTGAGAGGCTCTGGATCTGTGGAGAACGGAGAAGGGTATACGCAGCCGAATGCGAAATGAACCAAGGAGGTCTGCGATATGAGGTTTTATGCAAAGCTGCTAGGGTTTTTAAGCGGACTACTGTAGCTGAAGATTCTGGTTCGGGCCGGTTTAAGCAACTGTAGGCCCATTTATATTTTCTATGGTGTATTGGCGGGCTTCTAGTCCACAAGCAAACAAACTGGTCCATTTCAATTATTTTATAAATTACAAAGTGGCCCAATATCTAAACAACGGTATGCAAGGGAAACTTTTTATTAAAAAAAAAAAAAAGTACAAGCGATTGGGGGAGGGTAGTTTACACGAATATTGATTCAATGGGTGCCTGGAGTTTCGAACCTCTACCCACATGGGTGAAGGTAGAAGAGCTCAACTAACTAAACTATACCCTTTTGGCTAAAGGGAAATTTTTTTATATGCAACTTCTGGTGTACAACTATATGTTTATCTATACTATTATGTAATTAACGAGAGAGATGGATGCATAATTGTCTATACCTGATAATGTTAGAAATTTTTCTTGTATTCAAGAGGACTACTCTTATCTAGAGGAAGGAGGAATGATCTAGGGTGCAACAGTGCAAGGGGCGAACAAATTAACCTGGTCAATTAGCCTAACTCACATATGCTAAGTCTCATAATATTATAATTTTCAATTGATATAAAAATTAAAAAAATTCAGGTTGGATTAGCCTTGTCCTTAAATTAGCCATGCTAAAGTGGGCTAGCAATCCATATCGTTCTGAGCCCACCTTTAACCCCTAGCCTCCTTCACCGGCAACCTTGTGCCTAAGCTTAACTATTACCCATAATAACTCACCCCAACTGACCAGTCCCATTGCTGGCATTCTTCTTCTTCTTCTTCCCCAAATCAACCCTGAATGAGTTACAGAGTGAGCTATAGGTGTGTGTTCAGTGAAAAGGATTGTTCAACTTGTAATAATGTGTTCATTTGATGAAGGTGTCAAGGAGTTTTTTTAGGTCTCATCGATGACAAGGTTCTTCTTCTTCTTCCCCCCAACACTGATCATATGAATGACAACAGCAAACCAATGATCAGGTGAAGGAAGAGGCCAAAAACCCAAATCCAAATTCCTCTGGTTAATTGGGGGATTTAATATTTGCATCCTCAGAGTCATAGTTAGCAATAGCAAACCAAAGAATTCAATGAAATTATGTTATGAATATTGAAAATCATGTGGGAATGAATTGCTAATTATGCAAGAACAGGGGAAATAGGAACTTATTTGAAGAACAGGGGAGATAGGTAGGCACTACACTACACAAACATTCAAGAGGCTCAAATCTAGGGGTACACTGAAACTTGCACCATCATATTTTTTTTTCATGATCTTTTGTTGATGTAGCTCAAGATAGACATGGCAGTTTGGGCCCCAGTGAGGACAAGAAGGATGAAGGCAGAGAAAACAGAGATGAACGACCATGGCTTGCTAAAATAGGTCCGCATAAAGGTAGCCCAATGGCTGCTGTAATAGGCTTCCACATCTCTGAATTGAGTGGAGAGGTAGCATTTTCTAATGTTGAACACAACTTTCTCCCCTAACTTTGTGAACAGCTCAGCTACGTTCTGATCATTCTGCGAGAAGCCAGTGATTATCCCATCTGCACAAAGGAGCGTGACGTCCCTAGTCGAATTGATGAGACAGCTCATGAAGGCAATATAAGTGGTGAAGAGCTGAGATGTGTATTGGTGGCACCGTTCAAAGGCCATGCAATTGATAAAGACAGCAATGGTGAGGTCATTGATGGTTATAGGTGGGATTTGGAGTACCCCATTTCGGAAATTAATATCTAAGAAGCTCTCGGCAGCTTTGCGTGGCCTAAACTTGATCCCGGAGGGTCTTAGTTGTGTGGTACATTGGATTGACTCCGAGGATGGACGGTAATTTTGATCAGCGTTATGATCATCATGTGGAGTTGAGGAAAGGAATAACATACACAACCAAATCGATGTCTTGAGGGTAGCTTCGCATAGTACATCTGATGTACGTTGGAATATTGACTTCTTTCGTGGAGGTTCATATGAAAATGGGGGAAGAAAGCTTAAGTGAAACAAGTCAAGCAAGTGCTTGGCCCCCCTAAGCTTGCTTGTCCTCTTAAGGACTTCGCTAGGCCTAGGCAATGTATGGTTGAAGAACTCAAGCGCAATCAAGGTTAGAGAATGTTCAGTTCTGAAGTTGGAGATCTCGAAAAGCTTTTCAAGGACAAAGAAAGGGAGTTGGTTTTGAAGCTTGAGGAGGTCTCTGGTAAGAATTGGAATCAACCATGGCCTTGTTAAGATGGGGTGATCATCTTCATCCGCACTCATACGTTGAAAAAGCTCAATGATAAAGCACCCATCAAGCACCATCATTTCAACAAAGTCAGGGCTTGACATGGGGATCGACTCAGAATAGCAGCTTCTCGCGCTCTCCTCCAACTTTTTCATGGCTTTATAGTATTCTGGCAGCGGATCATGCCTTCTTCCGTTCGTTTCTCGAGAAAGGAGCAAATTAAGAAACTGCAATTTGTAACTTTCAAATTCAAGTAACTCGTCCTTGCCGCGGTGGTAAGGTCCAATGGAAACCATTTCAGGCTCAATGGTTTCTAGAGTAGGACTGATTCCATTGAGGCTGGGAGGAACTCTATATATGCATACCGGGCTTTTTATACCACTTCTTCTTGTCTGAATGTCTTTTCTCTGCTCGTTTAGGCGCTTTCGCATAGCTGCTACAGATTCTTCGTAGTTCTTCAGGTCATCTTGATCTTCCTCACTGCTGCTTGACCCTAATACTGTGATACCATAATGCTCCATTTTCCCCATCCTCTCTTTCTCTTGCTTTGCTCCCAAGATTGTCAAGAAAAGTTGAATTTTTGTGTGTTTGGATCAGTGGAAAATTCGTCAAAACCCAATCTGTCACTCGCATGTTTCAGACAATGATGCCATGTCCAAGATTATTTATTGGCAAGGGCCATGGAGTTTCATGGAAAGTTACGAAATACTCTTGGAATGTCGTGCTCATAATTCTTGAAACTTTTACGGAGACCAACTCATATGTTTCACAATGATGCCCTGTCCAAGATTATTTATTGGCAAGGGCCATGGAGTTTCATGGAAAGTTGCAATATACTCTTGGAATGTAGTGCTCATAATTTCTTGAAACTTTCACGGAGACGGTCACAATTCTCACGTTCTTGATACTCTTGGTATTGAAATTCTGTTTCTTGCAAATGGGCAGGCCACAACATAGGCCCAACAGCGTCATTCAAGCATATTTGGGCATGCATCAGCTCGATTTGATGGGCCATTGGGACAACAAAAAAACTCACCTGGGCCGTGGGACCGTCCCTGGGGTTAAAGGTCGGCCCGAGATTATAAGGGCCCTTTATATTATTGTTGTTGTTTGATTGGTCATGAATTCAATGCTCATTGGTGCAATTTTATAGAGAAATTTTTGTTATTAAAAAATAAGTAAAAACGAATACACAGTTAGAACGAATGGTAGCAGAGCAGGCCAACTCTAATAGACACATAATTGAGAACTTAAATGTCACAAGCTCAATTTTTCACATGTGCATAAGTGTATCGACGATTTCTGAATACAAGCGATATTAAAAAAATAGAATTCAGACACAAAAACCTCAAATGCATGGATAAATATCAACAATTCTACGAATTTAGGATTTACTCGCGTCCATGTGTTGGTTGGAGTAGGTAGGTTTCTTTTCTACAAATAAATGCATAAAAAGACGTCAGATTTGGCACAAAATTATTGTAAAGATTAACAGCAAAGTTTACTCTCATGACTAAAATACAGGAAATACAGCACAGACTTGCCTGGTTTTACACCTGTAGTTGATTAGTGAGTCGCTCTGTTCTGACAACAACCCCACAAAAATAAAACGAAATGAATTGCATGGACCCAGAAAAAATAGTGATAGTCTGCCATTTCTATCCCTTTCTTTCTCTGTCTTCATCTTCTTTTTTCATGTCCACTTCTGCGTAAGGGGGTAGCAGTTGTACATTATAATCATAAAAAAATGACTGACGATAATAAATTATAGAGACAGAGGATAAGCCCGTCGTACGTATTCACGTGGAGAGGAAATTTGGGAATATAAAATTATGGTCTTACCTAACCAAGTGTGACAAATTAATTTTGTGAGTGCATGCATGGTCTGGCTTTTTGGCCACGAAAACATGTAACAATTAATTTGAGGTCTACCTACCAACACTTTTTATTTGCAGCAATGGAAAGTTTAGTGTTAATGGGCACGACAAGGTTTGTGGGTCGTACAATTTTGACTTCATATGATTAATTAGGGCACAACAACTTTTTGGACCAATAATTAGTGTGATATAGAATAAGTGCAGTCGTCTACATGCATTGCAAGTCATGAATTAGTATCCTTAAACTTGTTTTTTAGTTATTTGGGTCCTCTAATTCTCGTATGAGTTTCAATTTAGTCCTTATTTTTCCTTTAGTTTTTATAGTATAATTGTACTCAAATTGACAGAATGACTAAATTGGAACGCATGCAAGAATTGGAAGATCGAAATGACTCAAAAATGAATTGGAAGACAAAAATGATACTCGGAAATAAGCCCAGTGTGATAAAATAAAATAAAAATCTTAAATTTTAAACACCATGATTGGTTTAACGGATTATGTGATGATATCTAAGTTGGCAGAAATAATTAAGGAAGTATATTTGTGGATGACTAAATAAAAACAAAAGAAATATATACTCGTATTGTATGACAATAATTTGATTGAATGGAGACCCATTGTGCTTTCCACCTCAGCCTTTTGCTTATCCAGATCCCGTACAAGAATGGCCCATTAATAATATGGGGGAATAAACTTTGAAAAATAGTACCACAAAAACATGTTTTTATATATTTGTTTAAAGGAATGTCTAGTTATTTTCAGAGATATATCAATTGATTATGTGGGTGCAGTGCAAGAACAGACAACGGACGTTAAAAGTTGTAACAAAGGCAGCACACCACATTGACCAATCACCATATTGCATATTAATATTAGGTCAATTGCAATGCGCAGATAAGATTAGATTATCTTCGTTTACCTTGTGTTTTGAGCAAGTTAAATCAAATTAATATAGGTTAATATGAAGAAGTATTGAAAATCCAGGACCTTCTAATATACACTACTATAAAATCTCATCATAAGCCTGATTCATGTTAGTCACAGACAACTCGTGGTCAAAAGATGTTGGCCGCATATTAAACACAAATCACATGGCTGTGATCGATGCGGGTTTAAGCATTGTCTCTCCTACAATCAAGCAACAGTAAATTATGAATGAAGTTATTAGGTCATTGTTCCAGATAATAATAGACAAACCCAAACAAAAAACAAAACCCATTTCTGGTTGGGGGTGGGCAAAACTTTTGATCACACTTTAGCTTAAGACAGGGGTACCTTGATCATTGGTAAATGACAAATATCTGAAAACAAAAAGGCCTTGGTGGATTTGGCGCACTGTAGGAGTGGTGTGACATCTATATCCACATGAGAAGAAGCACCTGGAATTTAGACATCAACTTTTGGGGAGAAACTACACATGTAATGCGAGCCCATATTTGGTCCATTTTAAGTGCTCATTTTGAGACACACATGTATCAATTTTTCGCACGAAGGGGAAGCTTCTCCCCTGTGTAAATATTTTTTTTACGAAATCGCAATAGAAAGTGTAAATTGTTTGAAACTTAATCCATCATATTCATATGTCACGACACTTTGCCCCAATGTGCCACTCGTAAAGGATTTTTATCAAGTAGTTTCGTACCTTACTCAATAGAGCATCAACATGGAAAGGGCGAGCACGGACAATAGTCTTCACAGCCATTGCCTATCTATCTCCCTTGTTTTTTATTTACCATAATTTCAACGAACCACCATGAGCCATCATGCATGCCAAGTTTTCCGTGGTCAACTTCATGTGCGTGATCTTTTTCCTAATGTCTTCTTAAATTTGTGGTCAAATTTGACCCAAAAAGTATTTGGTGAAAATCGATATCAGGAGACGAAGACGAAGACGAAGAGGAAGAGACCCAGAAGCACACTCCCGAAGACCATGGGCGGGAGGAGTGTTGGATTTTGAGTCGTTTGACGACTTTGTCTGCCGTTTTTAATTAAAAATCGTCGTCAAAAGTCTTTTTATAAAATAAATACGACAACAGTGTGATAGCTTTGGGGTGGCCTTGCCATATACGCGCGTACGACAAACGCACAGATGGATGTGGGCTCCGACGATAGTGGGGCCAGATGGGTCTTCCCCACGTCGCAACGTGAGGCGCGTAACTAATAAAGCTCTAGTTTGCTGCGGATGGTTTACTACTACCAAGTCACTACTCACTACACAACAGATTCTAGAAAAGACAAAAATAAAAAAAAAAAAAAAAATCCACAAATCGAAATTAATGAAAGATGCCATGTAATTCTTTCTACCTAATTTTTTTTTTAATTTTTTTTAATATAAAGATGCCATGTTATTTATATATTTTGAAAGATGCCAATATTCAAATTCTGGCAACATCGTATATGGAAGTGTCATTTTATTTGGCCAATTTGTGTGTCGTGTCACAGTTCGCAAGACTTATCATCTTTAATATCTTTTGAAAATTTGACATTTTCCCCATCCAACGCATTTTTCTTTGTCCGCAATCAGTGAAACAAATACTAATCTTTTTTCTAAGATTTTTCACGGTCCATATCATAGTTTTTTTTCCCAATGCAATAAAGTTACATTATATCTATTTTTCGTGATTAAAGCGTTTATACTAATCTTTTTTCTAAGATTTTTCACGGTCCATATCATAGTTTTTTTTCCCAATGCAATAAAGTTACATTATATCTATTTTTCGTGATTAAAAAGTTTATCTAAACGCTTTAGAGACAAACTCTAGTTGCTAAGAGAGAGAGAGAGAGAGCTTCTGATTCGGAGGGTTTCGTCGAATTTTTGGTGTTTTCCGGCTTTAGGTAAACATTTGTCGATATAATCTTCTTTCGATAGCTTTATTGTTTTGAATCCAGGTTGGCTTTGGTTGTGCCTATTATTGCGAGGCTCTTCTTTGAGGTGTTGCAACGTGGTCATGATATATCCACTGCTCACTAGTGCGTTGAGGTCGTGGAGTAACTAGATGATGCTCCTCTTGTCATGTTCTGAATGAAGATTAGGCAGTTGGTTTTCCTTTTTCTGGTGTTGTTTTAGGTTTTTAAATTTAATTTAGTATGTTCAATAAATTCAAAAAACTTTATGAGTTTTCTGTGTTTATTTCCCTCATGATTCTAAAAACTTAGTTGAGTTTGCTTGGTATTCTTAGTTTCTCTAGGAGAGTCATGCCGGTTAGTGTTTAGTTTTGATTCTTGTTGTCATTGGACTATATTCAGAGAAATTATTGCGGTTGAAAGGAGTTATAGAAAAGTTATTTTCAATAGCGATTTTCTCTAAATCGTTTTAACTTTTCAGCTGACTCAGGTCACTGGAAAATTTTTACCCATGTCTACTATATTGTTATTTGGATGACTTCATTTACAATATATATCCTTTGTACTCCTTATTCATATTGATTTAATAAAATTTTATCACATTTTGTCTAAAAAAATCCAGTTAAACAAATTACATAATGAAGCTTGATGTGTCCTATTTTATATTTTTTCAAAATTCAAAAATACCCCCCCACCCACTTGAAGTTTGACTTGCTATTTGAGTTGTTTTGAATGTTTTTTTGTCTCCATTTAAGTGCAAAGAAAAAGTGATTGACTTTCTTTTGGAGTGTGGATGATCTACAACAATAAAAACGAGAGACCTTGGTGTGCACTGATTGTCAAG